CAAAACCCCAAAACCCCAAAACCCCAAAACCCCAAAACCCCAAAACCCCATGGTCACAAATATAACAAGTAAATCCAAATATATTATTAAAATTTAGAAACATCTCTCTATTTCACAATCTTGTTAAAATACTACTCATTAACGAATGTGAATGTATATTTTCTGACAGTATTTGTTAATAAACATCTTCTCTATTCTCTTCTTCACAAGATCAGGGTCTGCACTCTCTTTGATTTCTATCACGTAGGATATGATTCTGTAGCTCTTATCAAGACACCAGAGATGCTGAAACCTGATCATAGTCACTCCCTCTATTAGCAGGATCTTCTCCTTCTTTAATTCAAGCACTCTGGTCAGCTACTCAGGATGCACTTGCTGTAGCAGAACATAACACTAGTCGATGCAAACTGGGGCAGCTACAAATATTATTGCGAGGCCTTTAAGGATGCTTAGTAAGTTCTCAATAAGTCCAAAGTTAGCACAGATAAAGTAAATCCAAATGTTTCCAATGCTACCAATGAACTCGCAAGCAATGACTAATGAAATAGAGTAGAGGTTCATTCTAAAAGAGTCCCATTGACTTACTAACTTCAACTTCTACTTTACTTGATTTTTTTCAAAGAATGGTTCCCAACCAAACCAATTGTCTTGCATATATGTGTCGATATTGTAGTTTCTGCTTTCAAAGTATAGATACATGCCGAAAATGCCTATTTTTAGGAGAGTGAAAAGAGTAAGATACTAGTTCATCTCTAATATGTGAGTAGGTTCATCATGAATGCTTCTCATCTTAGCAATCTTTGCTGCTTTTGTTGTGATGTTGCTAAGTAAGTTATCTGTGCTTATAACTAAAGAGGCTGCTGATCCGTCTAGATTTTAATCTGTCTCCCAGTGTTCAACCATATGATGGAGGTTGTCAACGAATCCAAACACAAAGCTAAACAGCAAATACACTGAGTTTACGAAAGCAGCTAGTACGTTGAACCTCCTATACCCGAATTAGAAACTATTAGTCTTTGATTTAAAAGAAAGCTATAAAGCCTTTGCGCTAAACCCAAGAGAGCAAAGCATCAGCAGAGTATTCATGAAATCTCTTATTAGATGTACATTGGCATGGAACAATCCCAACATCCCCTCCACAAGTGAGAATGAGCCGATTACAGTGATATAAAGGATTAGTCTCTCAGAGGCTTAGTGATATAACTAATCCTTTGTAATCACTTTTTCTTTTTTGACTTTCTTTGCAGAGATTGAATGTGAATGGGAATGTCCAGACTCTTCATCGTCACTATGATCATGGCTATGATCTTCGTGGCAGTGATCATGTGATTTCTTGCTATGCTTATGACCGTGATCATGACTATGTGAATTTGAGTCTTTATGGGCATGATCATGCTTATGCTTTTTCCTCTTCTATACAGTGGCATCTTTTTCCTTAGTTCTCTCTGGTGTAATTAAACTTTCTTAAGTCACATCTGTAATCATTATATTACTTTCAGTGTCTGTTATCCTAATAGTTATTATTTAGCAATTTGATCTATTTTTACTCTAGATTGACTGATTCTAAGTCTTGATCTGCTGTAGACATTTTTGAAATTTATATATTATTGTATATACTATATTTTTCAAATTAATTTCCTAGATTTCACCTAGATGGGGTTTTGGGGTTTTGGGGTTTTGGGG